TATGCCATGCTGCCCGCAATACTCTTGCAGGTGGTCTGGTGTACTTGCTTCAGCACAGACGAGTCAAACAGCCCCTTCATACTGACTAAGCTGATAAAAGCAATTGATCTCATCACGTTCAATTTGTGGGCTTGAGTGACTCCAAAGGCTGATCCCTGCGTGCAGTCTTAAAAAGTCTTAAATATGGTGGAGGACTGGCCTAGCTCCTCTTCTCTGGGCCATCTTTCACCCTGGCAGGAAGCAGACCAGGTGAAGGGGGATTTATGGGAACTTTGGAAAACCTATCTTTTTTGGGTATAGGTATCAGTAACATTAGTGCATCCTTTGAAAATAGCCTCAAGAGGTTTCTGGGTGATGTTTTCTACTTAATTTTGGTAGTTGTCTCTGAGTATTTACTTAGGAGAGAACGAATGCCTAAAGAGGAGACTTTGTGCTTTTCCCCTGCAAAGGGGAATTCCTTGATCATCTTTCTTCGAGCAGATTTGGGTATGTTTTTCTTTTGCTTTCATATTGTAAACCTATACATCCTGTTCCTGTAGTAACGAAAGAGCTTTACTCAGGAGTGCTGGCTTCTCTTCAGTGGTCTTTGTCTTCCCTCCTAGGAAACAGTTTGAATGTGTCAGAAGAGTTCCAGTTCCTCAGAACTGCATCTGGCCAAAAACCTGACCAAGTTGGTCCGTAGTATTGCTCTCATTAAAAGCCTGCTTCTTCCTCCCAAAGAAGTCATCTGTGAACAGTAACAAAGGATTAATTGTGGAGACTTGGGACTTGGCAGAAGTGTGTATAAATGAAGTGCTTTTTTGGAAGCTACATTGCCTGTCTTGCAGATCAAAAAATAAATGCAAAATATTTCAATGTGTATCAGTGGATTAATTCACTTGATTGCCACTTCCCTTCCTCTTCTCTTTGTGGGGAGGGGTGCTCCGGAGATTGGAATTTTAATTGCTTGACCGCAGTTTCTTATTAGTGGTGCACCAAAAGGGTACGGATCATTAATTAGTACCGAATATAAGGATCTCTGAGGTTGACTTATAGCATCAAATGGATGAGTTTAGACAACTCTCGACTGAAATTACAGTCTTTCAGTAAATTGAGTTATAATAATGAAACCATTAGAATTTTTTCTCAGTCCCTGCATATTGTTTTTTGTATTTGCAGAGTACATTCTGGTGGTCTTAAAGGATGTAGCATTTTTATATAAAGATATATTTAATATTTGTATACCTTTTAGACATACGTATCTGTTCTGAAGGCATGTATATATATATACATGCCTATGGAAATAGTTACACATAACTCAGAGTTGTTATACAATGGCATGCCTTATTTAATTTTATTAAATGTTTTGGGGTTTTAATTCATTAGGTAGTTTCATTTGCAATATATAAAAACAGTGTTCTCTGTAGCCGCTTTCTTTTTCAGTCAGTACCTGAATTTGTGCTACTGTATCCAAAGGGAAGTCTAGCTCTTGAGTGTAATGATCTGAAAACAGAATATTATCCACATTATTACTTTAACATCCAATAGTCTGTATCGTATTTCTTCTGGTTTTAAAACTTGATGATGGAAGTGAATTGTATAACTTCAGTTATACATTAACCGTGCTGCATCCAAGATTCTCAGATAGTGCAGGGTGGAATAGGAATATGCCTGTAATACATACTGGTATCAACTTGTTTTCTACTTTGTGGATTAAGAACTGGTTAATGGACAGACTGCAAAATGTAGACACGTGTGGGGTCACCATTAATTGCTGTGTGTGTAGTAGGATTACTGGTGCATTGGTATAAAACAGAGTGTTCTGCAGTATTTGCATCCAGAGTTTAGAGGTAAATAGGAAATAATTGCTGATAAAACTTACGAGTCATCTGAACAGCGTGTGCCTTTTCTCAGCTAAATTCATAAACTGGACTTTGGTTATGGACACAGAATTACGGATGTTGATGGGGTGAATGGAAAACAGTGGCTCTGAAATTTAAATAATACAAAAAAATATATAAATGGATCAATTTCTGCCACCTGTTCCACTCCCATATTCCATTTATACATTTATATGTGTCCATTTGGGGGCTTTTAAAATATGAAACACATTTGAATATGCAAGAGCCATAAAGTCTGGTTTGTAAAACCCAGCAGAATTCAGCAATGAATCTAGTGCTTGTATTTAGTGGGAAGTGGGAAGTAATTAGTAGAAAACTACAAAAATCTGGGGGTTTTTTTCACAGAAACCTGTATTCACTCTATTTTTTAATTCTCCTGTAGAATTTTATAGGAAGATGGTGTTCAGCAGTTTACCAGTATATTAATGAGTCTTTATTTATGTAAGTCTCTGGGGCTGAGCAACCATCTCCTGTTGAGAGTTCGTAGAAACTAGATGTCTGGGAGTTCAGAAGTTGGCAGGAATTTTCATAGGACATTTTTCCACGAGGTAATTTTCTTGGCTTTTGTTGTTTTTGAGACTCAGTTTGTGGAAAGAGGGTTGTGTTTCTGCTCTCTCCTCTTGCTCCTGCTTCCTCTTTCACAGGAGTTTCTGAAACAGTGCAGCTGCCTGCCATGAATTCACCAGTGCATCACATGGAAACTTGGCTTCTTGGCACATGGAAGGGACAGCTCTTTTCTTCTGTCCCTGCCTCTGGGGAATTAAATTCACATTTTGTGTTCCTGCTTAAGTTTAGAGCCAAATTTTTCACTTCAGCTTCCTTCCTCCCCCCTGCCCCTCTCTCCTTTCCTTAATTAAAAGATGCTTAGGTTGAATGCCTATAGCTGCAGCTGAAAAAGGATGAAAATCGCACAGATGAAATAATAGCTACACTTTTGAGACCTGGACCTTTATTTAGCATCACATTTGCTGGCATGTCACTGTAACAGAGTTCAAAAGCTGACTGGATTACTTTTTTCAACAGATTAATTGATAAGCTCTAATTTTAAAAGGAACAAAATTTTGTTTGCAGTCAAACATGATTTTTACAGCTTTAGTTGTTCCTCCCATCTACGTTAATGACAAAGTCATATTTGCTCAGTGTAAACAGGAATAGATAGATTCACCACATCTGTATGTGTTTAGTCTCTCTGTTTCCCAAAGGCTATGAGGACATCCAAACTGAGATGCCAACTGCTAAAACCAGTATCTGTATGACACTGGCTAAAACTGCTTATTTTCAGCACCTTTGAAAATCAGGTCAATTATGGAGTACCCAAGGATGAGCACTGATTTTGAGAGTTAGGTGACACAGGTTTTTAGATAATGGACTCCAGGTAGGTGTCTACAAAAAGACCAAAAAATCAGTCTCAACACCTTTTGCCTTAAATAGTTTCTGGAAACCTGGTAGAATCCCATGCCAGCTCTTCCCTGAGCAGGAAAGAAATTAATTTCAAAAATTACTTGGAATAATATGGGGCAAAGAAATCAAAACAGCAGTGTTGGGTAGGACAGCATTTCTGATAAATCACAAATGATCCTTCTCACAGAGGAATATCCTGTAAAATACCTAAACACAGAAGTCCTTATAATTGAAGTTAACAGTTTTTTAAAAAAGAAAAGAGGAATGGCACGATGTGCACTAAGGTGTTTTAGAGAAAACGTGGCAATAGATGCTCACAGAGCCTGGAGTCCAGTTTTGCACAGGTATTGCGCTTGGTAAAGCTGCTATGAAGTGACTTGAAAATATTGCTGCTAAAATTACGCACCTTATCTTTGGTTTTGACAGATACATGGTTGTTCTTCTCCACTCCTCTGAATACTTGCATTGCTTTCACGTTGAACTTAAAAACTTCAGTCTGCTTTCCCTAATTTAACCTCCTTCACCACAATGCCCTTTTGTAATTTACCCATCTTTTCATTACTCAGTCATACCCAGCTTCTTCAGCCAAGCTAACACGATGATATGCACCATTTCCTTCAAATCTTCTCTCACAGCATTTTAATAACTTCCCCAAATAAGTTCACAGTGCTCCTGCCCTTTCAGTTCATGTCATCGCTGTTTGAGTCATGGGTACAATCAAGTGGCAAGAGCCAGTTAGGCAGCCACAGCTGTGTACATTGGATATATACGTTTAACCAGGGTGCTTAAATGTGAGGTCTTTTCTTGGTTGAGCTCTGTCAGGTTTGTGAAGAAGGACACTGGCTGGCAGATTTGCCAAGCACATGAGAAGTAAAAGCAACAGTGATCTTGAACTGCCAAAAGAATTTGAAAACAGGGAAAATGTTGCAATATTTGCCTGCATAAAGAGGGGAATTATGAAATACGAGTGTAAAAGAGGTACTGATTTTTGCATACATTAAGATCATTTGGGAATCCTACATTCACTTTTCCTATTCATACTGAAAAAAAGCCTTGGAAGAGGCTGAGAAGAGATCTAATCTGACACCGCCACTCTCATGAAAGGCTCAAACTCAATTTTATCTCCCCAAGAGAAGGCTAAGAGGTGAATTAGTTTTTGTTTACTCCATATATATATGTACAAGTAGATCAGCTAAAACTGCTTCCCAGCAAGGAGAAATAGCTGTCAAGATCAGTGGCGGGACACTGACAAGCGTGAACCAGAAGCAAGATGTGAGTTTGCAGCACTGGGAGTATCGCTGGAACATTTTAGATAGGGGAATAATAGATTCACTGTCACTTGGTTGAATGTCTTTCTTAAAAACTTCCTTATACCTCAGTCAGCTCACGGCTTCTGTACATAGGAATTGCCGCACAAGGACTTATAGCCTGTCAAGGAGAGGTCGGATGGCTCTGCTGGCCTTACACTAGCTATATGTTTTTATTTCACCTATTCTGTTCTTTTTCCTCGTTTTACTCATTGCACCGTACTGAGATTGGCAGCAGTCAGATCTCCATCTTCTGTATTTGTGCACCTTCCAATGCTGTGATGCTGGACAAGTAGAGACAATAGCCAGTGCTGGGGGTTGATCCCAGTTCAAAAAACTCACGTGGGATGCAACTACTGAGTATCCATTTACTTACTGCTTTCCTTTTTCTTTTATTTTTTCTTTTCCATAGTGAAGTACATGAGAGAAGCCACCCCCTATGTGAAGAAAGGCTCTCCTGTTTCAGAAATTGGGTGGGAGACGCCTCCCCCCGAATCTCCCCGCTTGGGTTGTGCCTCTGCCGACCCCCTGTCGCAGCTTTCGCTCTCCATCCACAGAGACAAGAAGACAATACCGCTCAAGATGTGCTATGTGACGCGCAACATGACGGTGTCAGACCCCGAAAACAGGTGAGCGGGGGATTTGCCCGGGGCTGCATTTTTGCCTTTGCGTTGAATTGTCGTTGACCTTTTCAGCATTGGGTTTGGTGAGCAAGAGCTGGCAATGGGCTCTGGCCACACACGGCCACCCGGTGAGGGGCAAGCAATCACCCATTTGGGAAGGGTGGGTGGTGGTGTCTGAGCCGTGAGGTGCTGGATTCAGCTTTTGGGTTGTGCTGGAGAAACTCTTCAGTGCAGTAATCCAACATTTTTAGTAGAAATAGAATCTCAGGGGTTTGTTTTCATCCTGATTAAGTGTCTGCTTTTGAAGGAAAAGACACTGTACACACTAATTGGTTACATCTTCTGGGCTGGCTTAATCCAATTCCACTAAACTGCATTTTCTTTTCTTTTTTAATGAATATTATTTTAAGAATGGCCTTTTTTGTCCATTCAGTTCTGGGCATTAAAGTCAAGAATAGGAGAAAAGTTCCATTTACAAGGCATTAATGGGGAATTTCTATGACTTCTTGGGTTTTTTTCATAGCGTTAAAAATAGGATGAGCTTTTAACAGCCCTTATTTATAACGTATGTGGAACAGCTGCACCACACCAGCACGCTCTCTGATCCCTGCTCTAACAGCTGCTAATAAAAAAGGGACCAGTCAAGTCAGTAACACAGACTGCTTCTTCCATCCAAATAATGGCCGTTTTGTTTTTCTGCAGTGTGCTGGCTTGCCCAGAAGCTGGGTATAATGCCTTTGATTCTCAGCGCTTACGTATAGGCATAAAAAAAAGTTAACATTTTCCTTTGCAGAGAAGGATAAGGAGAAGAGGGGAGAGAAGGGGGTTTGCGGGGGATGGCTTCCCCTGTAATCTCTTGCATTGCAATTCAGAAACTTTATCGGTTTCTGTGTAATTTTCCTTCTTTCTTTTTTATATTTGTCTGACTTTCTTTTAAGGGTGTTATGCTATGCTCCCTATGCTTTGGTTTTTAGTATTGCTCCCACCAAGTGGTTACTACCATAGTCAGTGATAACTGACCACTACAGAAGTGCAACTGTAGAACAGGAATTACCCTAGCAGTCTTTCTCAAGTTTAAATCAAGGTGGTTATTGGTATCGGCCACTTTTTTTTCACATATATCTGTATAGTTTAAGATGTTGAGGTTTGACGGCTGTATCGCTAGCCTGAGAGTTTGTCGTTCTCTCTGCCATGGAGTGTATTTTAAAAATACCCATGCAGGTCGCATTGTTTCAATCAGCACAATGTAATGATGCTTTACAGGTTGGCTTCGTTCTTTCAACATTTTTCTCTTTTTTTTGATTGTATCGTAGTTCTCAGCTTCTGTCACTCTCCTGGTCCTCAGTTTTGTTTGAAGGCCAGGAGGACTGATTCAGAGGGACACACACTCATTGCTCATGATAGTTCTGCAACGGAGCTGACTTTTTTGAAGCGTCCTACAAGTGTGTGTGTTCTTAGGTGTTACTAGGAAGTAACATGTGGGAGAGTCATATTGCTTATTATCATGGTTTTCATTTTGTGTTGCTGTCATTTCCTGTGGAAAGAGTGACTCTGATTGTTACTGTAGTCCAACACGGTGCAGTGTACAGCTTAAGCTGGATTTTTCCATCCGAGCACACAGCACCTCACAGTCGTGCTAGCTGCAGTGGAATAGTGGCATCCCATTGATTCGCATTTTTACTTATTTCAGGGGGTTTTAACTATTCGGAATACTGGAACTGATATTGCCCAGTAGAAATGCTATTACAATGCAGTGACCCTTTCCCACTGGAATATATCCCAAGATAGTAATCTGATTCCACAAAAATAATTTGATCTTCCTTCACAGCAGAGCCCAAACCATGTCCTTACATGCTTGTGACACTTCCGTTTCATAACCTAGTGACCTGACACACATAGATCTAATAACTGATGGTGTCACTTTGCTGGATGGCTTTAGGAGAGCACTGCTGGCAGGCTGCCAAAGCATATGCTGGCTATAAAGGGGCTCCTTTGGACTATAGCTGAGCTAATTTTCATCTAAGACCAAGCATGGATGTAGAAAGCATGAGTTTTCCAGTGCAGATACTTCTCCAGTGCTGGCTGGAGATCATGTCATAGCAGGGTTGTGGGACCAGGCTGAACTGGATTTATGTTCAGCATGAGAAGATACCTATGTTAAAGGGCCCAGAAGGAAATACCTGCTTGTTGGCACTGAGTCACCTCCAGTTCTTAGAAAGCTGGGGTGAAATGTGGTTTTAATGGGAATGGAGGAAGTTACACATATGGTTTTCCCACTAGAGCTGGTAGCCCTGCATAGGATTTCTGCTTCTCCTTGAAGACTGGTCCCACTTAAGAGATACTTAACTCTGTGTCTACTCTTGAATGGTTTGGTGAGCCTGTTATTTCAGAGCAGGAGTGAAGTTTGGTGCTTTTAGAGCCAGCAGTTCTCAGTTGTCTCTTTCACCTAACCTGCCTGTGGGTTCACTCTTAAGGAGGTAGGGAATTGTCTTGTCTGTCACCTGATTAAAAAAGCTGCAAGATACCAAGGAGAAGATCCTTAATACAAACCAATGCCAAATGTAGTGTGTTGGAAAATATTTTTAATAGTACAAACACAGCAACAGGAGAAAAGATGCAGAGCATCTTAGTGGCATCTATGTCATTCTCCTCTAGACACAGGGGCTATTGTTACATTTTAGGCTGGAAGAAACTAGGTTAAAATAATTACTAAAATCTGTTGTTTGCCTGCATTTTTACTGATAAGAGTCCTTCTTGGTGGCAGCACTAAAAGGTTAATGTCAGGCCTCACGAGGGAGCATCCCGTCCCAATGAAGGAACATGTCTGAATGGTCACAGCTAGTAATACCAATAAGCAGTAAATCTTACTGGAGTATAAAAAGCTTTTCATCAATTTCTGGTGATGATATTAAGGAATAGGAAGAAAAAAAAAAGAAATAGGCCTCTGAGGTGAAATTTGTTCTGTTGGTGCTTTTAAAGTCTTGGAACATAGTACAAAGGTACTTCTGTACATAGCACAGGAGACACGACTTCCCTGGAGGAATAAGGCTGTGGTGCATGGACTGAAGAGGTTTTCTCGTCTGCTTTTTAAATCACCCTAAAATCCTGCTTGCACTTCATTCAGCCAAACCCAGAAGGTGTGGGCCTGATCCTGCCAGCACTTAGTGTGCACAGATCACGTTTTTCCAGTGGCAGGAGTCCAGAGCACTGTGATCCTTACACGGAACTTCAGCAGGGATCCAATCTTAAGGACTGAGTTACTCATTGGCAGGATTTGGCCCTCTAATGGGAAAAGTTTGCTTTGGTTTTGAAGCTAGGAAAAATGAGCCAAGACACGTTCCCAGCAGCGTGGTGCCAGCTGACAGCTGCTCAGAGTGGCAGTGCCGCAGCGAGTATAGGTATAGTTCATAGACTTCACACCAAGGACACGCGGAGAAACAGATAAGGAATTTTCCTTATCTGTTGTCCATTTCAGGGTTGGACTGAGAATTACAATCAGAAGGTAAAATTGAGCAGGTACAGTTTAAAGGTGCCAGAGGAACTGGCTGGTATCCATTCATTCTGGGCTCTGAGCACTGAGCTGCATCTGGGAATTACCTGAGCTTCCCAGGACAACAGGGAGGTGCAACACAGACTGAGACCTGTTTACTCCAAAGGCAGCTATAGCTGTAAGCTGCTTCATTACTTTGTTTTTGTTTTTTTTTTTTTTTTTTGCATTGGGAAGTACTGATTCACTGAAAGAAGTATTTGCAAGATTTATTGCAAAGCTGTCACTCCCCAAACTGGTTCCTTTTTCACGTATTCTTTAAAAAAAAATTTTCTTACATTATTTAATAACATATCAGTAATGCACAGTAACGGGGTCAGTGAGATTTAACATTTTGAATTGTAGTGGGTGTATAAGCATGTAATTTATGTAAGCATGAAGTATCCCTGTGTGATGCTGAAATGGCATTTCAAAATCTTAAATATAAAACAATTCTAGTGAATTTGGATGTATTTACTTCTGTTACAATAACGCATGAAAACAAAAGTTGAAACTTCTTTAAAACAAAACCTGAGTTTCAACCAGATTTAATATGGCATAGTAAAAACTAGTCCTTGCACCAAAAAACTCAAGACATGAATGCTGATAACAAACGTAGGAAGTTAGCAGAAGACCGTGAAGATGAAACAGAGAGACAAACCTATTTAAGTAGAAGTCAGGGATCTATGACGCCAGTATAGGACAGACTACCCAAAAATGGACTTCCTGAATGTTTTTCTGATGCAGTTTTAGCTGTGAGGCTGATCGATTATTTATATAGGTGATGTCTGGAGTACCAGTAGAAACTCCATGCCTTTTCAGTAAAAGTCTATGACAGATGACCGTGTGTAGTTTGGGACCTGCCAGCACTCCCAGTTTCACTGCTGATCCAAAGCACAACTATTTTTCTTTAAAAGGACTACAAGACTTGGTATGTTCAGACGGGACATGAGGAAGCATTTCTGTACCAGGTGGGTGATCGAACACTGGAACAGGCTTCCTGGAGAGGTGGTCGATGCCCCAAGCCTGTCAGTGTTTGAGAGGTATTTGGACAATGCCCTTAATAACATGCTTTAACTTGGTCAGCCCTGAGCTGGTCAGGCAGTTGGACCAGATGATCACTGTAGGTCCTTTCCAGCTGAACTATTCTAGTCTAGCCTAGCCTAGCCTAGTCTAGTCTATTGAGGAATGAAGGACATTTAGCTCCTGCACCTCTTCAAGCTCATGCTGGTGTAATTTAAGGGTGGCGGAGGGGGCAGGGAGGCAAGTATTAGGCAGTAGAGAAGAGTCTGGATGTCTCGTTGGTGAAAGTGTGGGCTGGCTCATGCCTCCACCCTGCCTGTTTCCTGCTTGGTAAACAGGACCATACTTTGATGTTGCCAGGCGCGAGCAGCCACTGGTATACAAAGCAAAGGCTGGATTCTCCTCAAAGAGCAGCATGGTTTAGATGTTCAGCTTTGCAGCCTGGGTTTTTTCCCCA